CATTAGTTTTAAGTAATATACAACTGTGTTTTCTTTCTCTGTACATGCCTGGCGCCCAATATCTGTATTTTTTGTTGCTTATTGTTATTGATTGGTTTTCTCTCTAGTGAAACACCTTACCCACGACTGCTCTCCGATGAAAAGCTGCCGTTCGCAGTGGTAGTTGTTATAAAAAACGCTACAATACAATTTGATAAACAATTACATTGTGCATCTAATTCCCGTAGAATATACATATAGGATGTTCTATTTAAATTAAACAAGTTATTGTCGTTTAAAGCTACTAATTATTTAATATAAATTTTTGGACACTCTGTATAAGGTAGCAAAATTTTTATTATTGCGACACAATATCTGATCAATAAATAATCTTCGGTAAATACTTACTACCCTTGGAGAAATGAAGCCTTAAAATTTTTACTGCAATTTCATAAAATTGAAAATATTTCAAAAACGGTAAAATTTAAGTGTGATAAACCTTAATCAAATTTACCTTTATTTCAATCGTAGAATCCAAAAATAGAATAATATGCAGGGTGTTCCATTTAAAAAAATACAACTAAAATATTTTTTACTTATTTGGGACACTCTGTATCTTGTAAAAATATTTTTAAATTGTAGCTCTAATAGTCCTTCAACGAACAAAAAACTTACAATTTGTAAAAATGTAATCGTTTAGCTACAATACTCCGTGTCGTATGTGATGAACAACCCTGTATATAATTTATTAATTTAATTTTTATTTTAATTTTATTAATTGTGATTAATAAACAACATATCAAAGGATAACTTTTAATTGGCAATAAACGGCCTACACGATTTTTAAAAGAAAACATTCAGTGGCGCGCATGTTTTTTTTTGGAAAATATTATAGTGATCACCCATATGCACGTCCCCGATAAATTTATCCACGCTTTTTTAGCATTAAAATATATATGTAACACTGATAGTAACTTTTACCCTCAAAATTTCATTCGAATCATATCACTGAAAGTACTTGGAAGAAAATTAAATAAAAAATAAATAAATTGAAAGATTGTTAAGACTTTTAACACTCTGTAGCTTCGAAACAAAGCAGAATCGGACATATAAATACATATTTATGTTGATATGAAAAATAAAAAAAAATATCTCACACGGTGTTTTAAAGTTAAGGTAAAAAACAACCCTTCGATTAACCCTGTATAATATGCCAAATACTAAAGTTTATAAAAAACTGAGTTTACGAATTAAAGTTGATATATTTATACACAGTTTACTAAAAAAAATCAAGGAAATAGGGGTAAACATTTTAAACTAGATTTTTTTAAAATTTTTCCGTTGCGTTTTTTTGCATGAGTGTAGTATCAGGTTTTTTTCATTAAGACCTACCTCAAAAATTTTTCATTGCGTGCCATTGTTTACGAAATTTATACTTGATATTGAAAATTAAAAGATCATACGTACTGTCAAATTGTCAAGAAAATCGCAAAGATTATACTTAACCTTCTCGACAATATTGCCAACCCGTATTTATTACTAATTATAAAGCTTTGCTAAAATTTTATTTTAGAAATAATTGCTTGAATTACTCTGTTACTTTACATGACAGATTAAGTGACTGTAACCTGTAACAATGAAATATCTCAAGTTCATGTAGGTGTATTTAAAAAAAATAGAAATTTTTTTTTGGTAATTTTAATTTGATCGAACAATTACTACTGTAAAGGAAATTTCCGTTAGCTTTTTCTATACCGGGTGGTACATTGTCGTTGAAAACATAGGAAATTTAGCAAAGCCCAAGCAAATTTTGAACTGTCCAAATATTGGCTCCCCTGTCGATTTTGCAGCGAAATTCTATTTTTCAATTGAAACAAATTGTAAAAAAATAAAATTATTATTTTAAATTCAATTAATTATGAAATTACTTTTATTTATTGGTTTTTTAATTAGTAAGGCCCAGGCGCGTGGCGAACGCCCCCGCGGACACCTCGTGGCGGGGTGGGGCCCGGGTAAATTGGGTGCCTCCGCCCCTCATCCTTCAAAAACAATTCTCAAACAAACTGAAAACTGAAATTACATATAGGCACACAATCCTTTTTTCAGAAATAATGAGGCTGGTATAAAACAATTATTTTACACTACATTATTCTCTACAGGTATAATAATAATTATTGTACGGGTTAAGTTGGAATTTTAAACCCACAAACATTGTTAAAATCCCAGAAATCAGTATTAGTAGACAAATATCCTAACGACCTAACACAAAATCTAGCATTCTAACTAAATTCAAGCAAAAAATTTACTTTATGGAAAAATAAAAAATTTTCACAGTATCAGAGAGTTTTCTGATTTGATTTTTGAAAAAAAAAAACAATTACTGATTAGCCGTATACCTGAGATTTGCACTGTATTCCAGTTGTTTCTGGTTCTCCCTGTAACATCCGCTGAACCAGAAAGAAGTTTTTCTAAGCTGAAAATAATAAAAAGTTTTGCGAGGTCTACTATGTCCCAAAATCGCCTAAGCTCACTGGCCATAATATCAGTTGAGAATGATCGAGCAACACAGGTAGATTTGGACAGCCTCGTAAACAAGTTCCTTTTGTTAAGGTCTAGGAAAAAGGAATATACTTTCCAATAGACCATAGGGTACTTTATAAATATTTAAAATTTCTTGTTCACATTTCTGTTTTAGTTATTAGTAGTTAAATGTTGAGTTGTTTTTTTTTCTAATAAAACTTTGATTAATTAGAAGCATAAATGCTTGTTTTCTAGTTTAAGTATTTTAAGAATACAATAATAATAAATATTTATTTATTTTTAATTATTTTTTCAAATACATCAGTATTTGAACGAATTTTTGAGTATACTTAGGAGGGCCCCTAACGAAGCGGGGGTGGGCCCGCGAGAATTTGCCACGCTACTGGTAAGGCCCCTCCTAATACACACACTGGAAAAATCTAGAGATATCATTTTATTAAAGTTAAAAATAAATGTTTTGAATAAACAACCACATATTTGTAGGCCGATTCTTTCTACTTCGATTGAAACGAAGTAGTCACACTAGTTATTTCTAAATTTGGGATATTTGCAGAAGTGTTTGTGCATTTTTTGTCAAATGTATAAAAAGCACCTAGCATCAATTGTTCGAATTTAACCTGTACTGGCTATGTTTTTATGATAACTGGCCAGAATTCATTCAAATAACTCTGTTTAGTATTAAACGACATTATGGAGCGTAGACATCTTAACAAAGACGAAATGCTAAGGACCATGGTTATGCTTGAAGCTGGAATGCGCCAAATCGACGTAGCTAGAGCATTAAATACAACGCAAAGTGTAATATCGCGATTAAGTGCACGCTACCGTGAAAGTGGTGATGTTGCTGAAAGGCACACAAGGCGACATCGCATTACTACCCCTCAGCAAGATCATTTTTTACAATTAAATGCTCGACGCCGACCGACTCTTACAGCACCAGAGCTTAGTTTAATTCTCCAGGAAACACATAATGTAACCGTTAGTCCTAACACTGTTCGCAATAGATTAAGAGAGGTCAACTTAAGAAGCAGACGCCCCTGGAGAGCTCAACCCTTAACGAGAGGAAATCGAGAGGTACGATATTTGTGGGTTCAAGATCATGTTCAGTGGTCGAATGAACAATGGGCCAATGTTCTCTTCACGGACGAGTCACGCTTTGGAATTCATCCGATTCGAGAAGGCTTAGGGTATGGATAGAACAGGGAAATCTTATTCGGTTGGATCATGTTCAGGAAGTGCACCCTTATCAAGGTGGAACAGTTATGGTCTGGGGAGAAGTCCAGTTAGGCCGAAAAACCGATCTCGTTTTTCTTGAAAGGTTTCTAACAGGAATCGTGATTTAATTCTTGAGCCTGTCGTGTTACCATATGCCAATGATTTTGGGAGAAACTTTATTCTCATGCATGACAATGCACGGCCTCATACAACCAGAGTGGTAAGTGAGCTTATCAATGCTCATCAATTAAACATCTTACCCTGGCCGGCACAATCTCCTGACCTCAACCCCATCGAGCACGTATGGGACGCGGTCCAAAGAAAAATTTTGAGAATGGGTATGCCTCGTGAAACTCGTAGGGATCTGGTTCGGGCCGTGAATGCAGCGTGGCAGGCTGTACCTCAAGAAGAGATCGACAACCTGATCAGGAGCATGGAGAGACGATGTAGGGCTGTAATGAACAGTAGAGGAGGCCATACTCTTTATTAAGTAAAAATGGTTTTATCTTTTTTTTTAATTCGCACTTTAGAATAAAAAAAATGTGTGTATTTTTTTGAGTTCAATAAAAATCAAGGTAAATTTGAAAAATTCGGTAAATTTCGCATTTTTATTTCCAATACGTCCTGTAAACTATTTGTTTATTTTAATTTTATTATATCAGAAATGCAAATAATAAAATTACTGACGATGGCTGGATAAAATTGTAATATCTCTAGACTTTTCCGGTGTGTGTATTTGCAGGCATATTTCAAATCGTGCAGTTTGTTTCAGTTGCTTGTTGCTTGCTGATTGCAGTTTGTTTTGCCATTTTTAAGACAAAAATTTATTGATAAGTTTTTAGAAGACTCTCTACTAACTTAATTAAAATAATTTATTTTATTCTTAATATAGAGCCACAGAAACCAGTTAGTTTTTGTTATTATAGCGACTGCCTAATTTAAGCTGAGACTTAATATACACATGATATCTAAATAAATGCCATTGTATTTATTCTGTGGTGTATTTACCCTTCATTGTTTTATTTATTTAGATAATATGTTATTTATTGAAATAATTTGCTTATTTTCGATGACTAAATTTAAATAATTGTTCCTTTTGGTTTTTGTGGTTTTATTATGAAAAGTTGGTTCTCTGAAATAACTTGCCTGTCTTCTTTTTATAAACACGTAACTATTAAAACTTTGAGGTTTTATTTGACATTTATTCTAGTGAATCCCATAAATGTTCATTATGTATTATTTATGTTCCATTTTCAAACACTTACCCAAATGTATAGGATATTTTCCTGTTAGGAACGATGCTCTTGATGGTGTACACAGTGCTTGTGTATAATGGCTGTTTAGAATCACTCCATTATATGCGAGGGCATCTATGTTTGGAGTTGGAATCTCATCGCTGCCATGGAAGCTAACGTCATTAAAACCCTGAAAAAAAAATCATTGTAACAAGAATAAAAAGGATCTCTATTTAATATCAATTAAACTTTTAGTCACGTAATCGAGAACGCGATTTTTAAATTCATTATTGCCAACCATGGACATATTCGGCGCCGGGCTGACTAACTGGAATTTAAATTTCCCGCTGGGGATTCAGGTGGTAGCTCTGATGTAAGAAACGTCAGGTTGTTACATTTATTTATTTATTTCCTGACATTGTTATTCGTTTTGACACTTTAGTTTTGTATAACGAGTTTTTGATTTAAATAAATAGTGTTAGAGTGTTTAGAACCTCTTTAAATGCGGAGTTTACAAGATAGCTTAATAGCCGTAAAAAACTCATCGCAACTTTATTAGTATACTAGCGTGTACCAGCGACTTCGTTCGCGTCGAATTAATAATTTGTAATGCTGACGATAAAGCACATCAAGAATTTCCAGTAACATACAAACTGGATAAAATTTTCTCACATTTATGTCAGCATGAGAAAAAACAATATGGCGATATTATTATATAACTTGGTAATATTTGAGAGGTAATTTCAACTCGTTGGAATTTGACTTTTGAAAAATCCGTTTGCCAAAAATAAGCTTTTTACGCCAAGCAGTTTAAGCAGAATCGTGGTTAAGAAATTACCCAACTTTTTGGAACACCCTGTATGATTTTTTAAAAATTTTCAAAATATGTAAAAAAAACAAATAAATTATGCTTGTCCAAGCGTTTTCCCGAAAGACTAACCGTTTTTTAAATAACAAATATTGTATTATTTGAGGGGCATTTTCACCCTCTTGGAATTTGAGATTCGAGAAACCCCTCCTTATCGAACCTCTACACCCCACAGTCAATCCGTTTGCAAAAAATCAGCTTTAAGCTCCGCGCGCACTGCATCGGATCGGGCCGGCGAGAAACGGCGAAGGCGATGACTCGACTATCGTAGATAGGTAGAAGTAGGAATCTGGCCTCTACAGGCCGAAATGTTTTAGTGGACGCCGGCGCCTTCTATATGTACGATGGTCGCAGTCGCTTTTGCTGGTCGGTCCGATCCGATGCAGTGCGCGCGGAGCCTTAAACGTCAAGCAGTTTAAGCAGAATCGTGATTACTCAATGGTCATATTTTATGAAACACCCTGTGTAAATTTATAAAAAATCTTAAAATATGTAAAACAACAAAATAAAATATACGTGTTTAAGAATTTTTCCGAAAAACTCACCGGTTTTTAAATAAAAATATTTTAATATTTGAGGGATAGTTTCACCCCCTTAGAATTCGAGTTTCGAAAAATCCCTTCTTATCGAACCTCTACACACTAAAGTCAATCTGTTTTCCAAAAATCAGCTTTTTACGTCAAGCGCTTTAAGCAGGATCGTGATTAATCAATGACCAGATTTTTCGAAACACCCTGTATACATTTTTAAAAAATCTTAAAATATGTAAAAAATACAAAATAAAATATACGTGTTTAAGCGTTTTTTCGGAAACTTGACGGTTTTTTAAATAAAAAATATTGTAATATTTGAGGGGTGGTTTCGCCCTCTTGGAACTGGAATTTCGAAAAATCCCTTCTTATCGAACCTCTACACCCTAGAATCAACCTGTATGCCAAAATTGAGCTTCTTACGTTGAGTGGTTTGTGCAGGATCGTGATTAATCAGTATGTCAGTCACTTAAGGATTTTATATACAGGGTGGCCCATCGAAAACGTTCCGCAAGGCATAACGGCCAGAGTATTTTTTTTTTCCAAAAAATCCAAAAACACGTCAATTTTGTTTGTGAGGGTGACAACTTTTGCCCCAAAAATGATTGCAAAATCTCCAACCCTCTAAACGGGGGTGTCATCCCCCATTTTTTTTCAAATGGGAAGGGGGGTCAAGTGGCGCCGCAATGAAAAGAGCTTTCTATTCTCTATATTTTCCCGCCTCGTTTTTGAAAATCGATCGAGTCATTGAGAAAATATGAAGGATTGAAATTTAAAAAGTTTATTTAAACATTTATCAGAGTAAGTGATAAGGATAAATCCCTTTCACCAATTTGAGTTTTTTTCTTATTATTTTTAGATGTTTACGCATTTTTTCACTTGCCACAAGGTTGAACGATCAGGTGCGGTAGTTGCTAGATAGCTGTTCTGTGACTTGTGGGTTGAAGTTCTTCTCAATATCGTTAAACTGACCCACAATAGAATTTCCAAAAATACCAGCCCACACGTTCAATTTCTGAGGGTTTTGTGTGTGCACCTCGTGAAAAACCCTGGAGTTGTCCTCAGCCCAGTACCGAAAGTTGTGCCGATTAACTACACCGTTCAAAAAGAAAGTACACTCATACACATATACAAAACAAACATTAAAACTCATACAAAACAAACATTAAATAGAAAATTATTATCATTCGCCACTCATTCACTCATAGTTTCACAAAATTGCAAGCGACGATCAAAATCGTCTTCGTTGAGTTCTTGTACCAACTGAATTTTGTACGTGTGTAACTTGTGTTTTTTAATATCCTTTGGACACTTGTACGATTCAAGCCGATCTCATTGGCTAATTTTCTTGTACTCAGCGTACTATCCATGGCAACTTGGCCCAATACGAATACCTCCATAGCTTCATTTACTACAGGATTTTCCCTCTGCCTCTTTTTATTCATAACGGAACCAGTTTCGCGAAATTTTGCTACTACTCGCGAACAATTTTGCCATAAAGGTGTTTGTCAGGATGGCGTTCATTGGTATCTGCGCAACCCGATTGCCACATTCATTATTTTTAAAATAAAGTTCGATTATTTCCACTTTTTATGCAAGTGAGTACACCAAAATTGTTAAAAAGTTTAACGATATTGAGAAGAACTTCAACGCATAAGTCACAGAACAGCTATCTAGCAAATACCGCACCTGATCGTTCAACATTGTGGCAAGTGAAAAAATGCGTAAACATCTAGAAATAATAAGAAAAAACAGCAGATTGGTCCAAGGAATTTATCCATATCATTTACTCTGATAAATGTTTAAATAAACTTTTCAAATTTCAATCCGTCATATATTCTCAATGACTCGACCGATTTTCAAAAACGAAGCGGGAAAGTATAGAGAATAGAAAGCCCTTTTCATTGCGGTACCACTTGACACCCCTTTCCATTTGAAAAAAATTTGGGGATGACACCCCCGCTTAGAGGGTTGAAGATTTTGGAATCATCACTACCAAACAGTTGAAACTTGCTTTCGTCGCTAAACAGTACAGTATTCCATTTCTGATAAGACCAGGTGAGATGATCTTGAGCAAATTTAAAGCGGGCCATCCTATTTTTCTTTGATATTAGTGGTTTCTTCACCGCAACTCTTCCAAAAAGTCCCATGTCATCCAACCTTCTTCTCACCGTGCGTGCAGACACCGATATTCCCCTTTCACCCATTTCTCGAGAAATGTCTGTGGATATTTTTCTTATTTATTATCTCTCATTGATATTCTCTTCATTACTTTCATTGTCCTGTTGCACAACTTTCTTAGTCATCCTGACTTAAAAGCTGTTGAAACGTTCCCTGTTTGACGGTGCCTTTTAAAATGTTTAAATTTTTACTTATTTGAATTTGTTTATAACCGCTCTTGTATAATTCAACTATTTTATTTTTTAAATCCGTAGAGAAATATTTAGACTTGGGCATGATGTTTATATTTATCTGAAGCAAATCGTACCTTTTATCAGCTTAAACTAAATAATTTTAATGTATTTATTTATGGTTTCCATACTTTTGGCCACAAGAAATCTATTGTTCTCCTACAAAAACTGCTAAACAGATTTTTTTCGCTGTGTAATTTTTGGAATACTTTTATTTGCTGATAAGCTGTTCATTTATATTCCTGAGAGTTTAAGCATAGCAATATTTTCTGTGATATTTTAAAAAGTAAAAAGTTTCCATACTTTTGGGCACCACTGTATATGGGCGCATTCATCATCTTCATATTTGACATAAAATCCAAAATATTTCAAAAACCGTTAAACTTAAAAAAAATACTTAATTGCCAATACAAATTTTCTTCTTGTGTTAACGTATTTAATGAAATTTAAATTATTTTGAAAGTTTATAATTTAATTCTGGTGTACCGAGGTAATGTACCTGAAAAAACAAAAGCAGTATTTTCCTACGAGTGGAGAAATTGGTGTTATATAAACCTTTACATAAATGGAAACGTGCGGATGTCAATATACTAAAGTATTTATGTGTATTTACCTTAATTACATATTTTGTCAGGTCGATGGCAAAGTTTCGTTTACTTACTTTAATCCTCACACTGATTACAAAATAATAACAGGGTCAGTTTTTTTAGAGACAATTTTACTGAGAGATGTACAGGGTGGGTCAAATTCGACGCTTTTAAATTGAAACGCCCTTTTCTATAGGAGATAGACGAAAACTAATATCGGTGTCTGGAGCTCAATTTTCATCAAAAACATGATGGTGAAAACCGCACATCAATATCTGTTATTGTTTAGGAGTTACGGGGTGTTTTTAAAAAATGTGCATTTTTAACAAATCGCTGTAACTTTTTTGCTATGGAAAATTTTGTATTTCTATGAAAACATTTCCAAAGCACATTTTTACATAGAATTTAATGGTTTAAGTATAATTTTTTTAAAATTAATAATTTAAGAGTTATCAACAGAAAAATTGATTTTTATTTGGGACACCCTCTATATTTTTAATTAACTGAAAAGAATTTAAAATTACCTTTCCAAAAATATAGCACACTTGATATTTTGTTACAATCCCCTTCGAAATACAGAATTTTTAAAAGTTCGCCACTTTTAACTAGTAGGCTTTGGACCCCTTATTGATGATGTGCCCTTAATGGAACTCGAAAACATATTTTTCCAGCAAGACGACGCACCGCCTTTGAACGCTTAAGTTATCAGCAAATTTTTGCAGGCAATTTCAAGAATAATTGAATAGCTAACGAAAAAGATCCCAGCCGTTGGCTGTCGAGACCACCTGACTTAGTGCCCATGGATCTAATCTTATGTATATATTTGCTGAATAGAGATTCCTTATTCTTCCGTATAATCTAGACAAGAATTAGAAATACTTAGCAGTTATGAGAGGGTATCTTTCACCCCCACTGAATTAATGAATTCCGCGAGAAATGTTCAAAAACTGCCCCGTCTGTCCATAACAGAAGACGGTCGATATGTTGAACACCTGTAGCAAAATCTCATGTCTTGGTTTGCTATTTATTTTTATTGTTACTAGATATAGTTTAAATGTGTTGGTGTTAGTTAAATATATTTTAAATTGTTATAAATTTCTGAATTTCTCATAGCAAATATTATTTTCGTTTTAATTGATGCTCACAGCTACATTTTTTTGCATTACAGCCGGTGCCGTTCAAAACCTACTTATTTAAAGCGGACGAATTTTTATATACTCTATATCTCGAAGAGGAATTGAGCAAAATATCAAGTGTGTTATACACAAATCTTACTAGCATTGGCGTAAATACAGGGGTGCCCGGAGGTGCCGGGCCCCCCTCCCCCTAGGTACTGCTTGGCACCCCCCAGAGAAATCCTGAATTATGACTCTTGGCTACGTATTAATTTTTATTTGCTTGTGATGTAGTAAAAATGACGTTTTCTAGTTTTGTTTAGTTAATATTATTTCATTGTGTTCAAAAAATGTGTTAATTTTTATTTTTTTAGAAAATTTGTAGGTATTTAAGTCTAATCTACGGGAACACGGTTTGATAACCAGGTCTATGAAATTTATTGATAAAGAAATTCATGTAAAATTTTATTAAAAAAAGGCTGTACTTAAACTGCCGTTAAACGGTAGCTTACTAAAATGCCGTTAATAGGTATGACGTCGTTGATGTGACGCACTTGACGACTTGACGGCTTTATGAAATATAGGAATTTTATAAGGACTAACCAACGCTATCCACCCCACCAAATAACCAACTTAACCAACGCAACTAACCTCGACACTGATAAAAAAATTTAAAAAAACAAATATAAATTAGTAAAAACCAACCAACCCCACCAAATAACCAACTAACCAATGAATTAACACCCTCCAAATAACCACGCTAACCAACCCGCCAAATAACTAAACCAATCCAACAAAAAAGAGCGAAACCAATGCAATAAGATCAGGCTATAAGCAAAAAAAAATATAAAAAAGTCTTGGTCAGCGTGAGATTTGAATCACGGACCATGCGCTCACGAAGCGATAGCCTCAGCCACGGAGCCACAGGTCCTCTTGCAAAATGCTTATGGCTAGGCATTACTTTTCGCCAACATGAACGACGTCACAATATCTATTAACGGCATTTAAGTAGGCTACCGTTTAACGGCTGTTTAAGTACATCGTTAAAAAAATGTGTTTTTTAAATTATTTTTCATTTAAAGAAAATAAAAGCCCTAGGCCCCACCGTGGTCACAACCACAGGCCCCCCAGGCCCACCCCAGGATAAATAATTGCTAGTTACGCTAATGCTTACTAGTACTAAAAGACCTGTACCTTTACATTTAAAAATAGTTAATTATTTATACGTTGTTTAGTTATAGGAGAAACCTTTAAAAAAACTGTAAAAGTTTGTTGGTTTAATAAAGATTTGTTCTTCAATTTTATTAATCACAATTAATTAAATTAAATAAAATTACTAAATTATTAGTAAAAATCTGTAGCACAAAAGTAATTGATGATTTTTAGTTAATTGTGACGACAACCTTGAAATTGCTTTATATTTAATAATTGTGAATAATTAAATAATTAAGCGTGGATTACTAATGTGTATCTAATTAATAAAGGTTGCTTCAGTTTTTTATAATATAATAAAAATTCCGTTACAAAAATCCTGCATTTATTTAAAAACATCACACTTCCGATAGTAATTAATAAGAATTAGATTACTGATAACTATGAAACAACATATCTATAAAAAAAGTGTTTATTCTTAATCTAAGAAAAAGTATACCTTATAGCTTTCGTACAACAGGCGCTTGCGCAGCGCGTTGTGTAGTATATATGTGTGTTGCGCTTCGTTGTGCAATATTTTAGGTCGTTCATCCAAATTCTTTAATTTCTTTCTCGTTTTTTTGGTATCATTAACATCATCTAGGGTATATACGATAATAATTGACGCAATGGCAATTGAGGACATTATTGTTTCACAAACAATGCACAACTTTTAATAAAAAGTTTGGTGTCAAAAAGTGCATGGGTGATGCAGTTGTGCAACGGAACGTTGCGCATAGCTTTGTTGCGCAATTTGTTTGACAATGTATGGGCCGCTTAATGTATTGCTTACGTATCTGTAGAGGTTAGTAATGTATGGCAATCGCTTTTTTATTTTAAAGAATATAACATAAATAAACATAAGTAAAAACTAAAAATAAATTAAAAAATAATCATACACAAAATTCGAAGCTTTTTGATTTTACCCTTAAAGTTTTTACCTTATTAAGTAATTTAAAAATAACTATTTTATTTTGTAGATTTTTTACAGTGTCGAAATACCCATAGGACTTTTTTGAAAACATATCTATAACAATAAGTTTAAGTTTGATATTTTTTAACAAAGTACATTTCAATACATACAGGCGTTTTAGAAAAATTAATAAAGATAGATCATACACTTAGCTCCATTTTGATCCACACAAATCCTATTAACCCTGAACAACAAACAAATAATGTGATCTACATGATTCATGGCTATGGTACTTTAGACGTTTATAGATTTGTAAAATTTGAATTTTTGAAAAAACCGGGAAATCCCGGTTTCGAAAAACAGCTCCGGTTCCGGAAACCCTAACACTATCCTATCTCTAATAGTGTTGGAGATAAAAAATAAAATATGTTTAAATATAAAACACTAGCGTGTACCAGCGACTTCGTTCGCGTCGAATTAATCATTTGTAATGGTGATGATAAAGCAAAGCAAGAATTTCCATTAACATACAAACTGGATAAAAATTTCTCACATTTATGTCAGCATGAGAAAAAACAATATGGCGATATTATTATATAACTTGGTAATATTTGAGGGGTAGTTTCATCTCGTTGGAATTTGACTTTCAAAAAATCCGTTTGCCAAAAATAAGCTTTTTACGTCAAGCAGTTTAAGCAGAATCGTAGTTAAGAAATTACCCAACTTTTTGGAACACCCTGTATGATTTTTAAAAAATTTCAAAATATGTAAAAAAAAACAAATAAATTATGCTTGTCCGAGCGTTTTCCCGAAAGACCAACCGTTTTTTAAATAACAAATATTGTAATATTTGAGGGGCGTTTTCACCCTCTTGGAATTTGAGATTCGAGAAACCCCTCCTTATTGAACCTCTACACCCCACAGTTAATCCGTTTACCAAAAATCAGCTTTAAATGTCAAGCAGTTTAAACAGAATCGTGATTAGTCAATGGTCATATTTTATGAAACACCCTGTATAAATTTATAAAAAATCTTAAAATATGTAAAACAACAAAATAAAATATACGTGTTTAAAAGTTTTTCCGAAAAACTCACCGGTTTTTAAATAAAAAATATTTTAATATTTGAGGGATAGTTTCGCCCCCTTAGAATTCGAGTTTCGAAAATCCCTTCTTATCGAACCTCTACACCCTAAAAGTCAATCTGTTTTCCAAAATCAGCTTTTTACATCAAGCGGTTTTAAGCAGGATTGTGATTAATCAATGACCAGATTTTTCAAAACACCCTGTATACATTTTTAAAAAATCTTAAAATATGTAAAAAAACAAAATAAAATATACGTGTTTAAGCGTTTTTTCGGAAACTTGACCGTTTTTTAAAGAAAAAATATTGTAATATTTGAGGGGTGGTTGCTCCCTCTTGGAACTGGAATTTCGAAAAATCCCTTCTTATCGAACCTCTACACCCTAGAATCAACCTGTATGCCAAAATTGAGCTTCTTACGTTGAGTGGTTTGAGCAGGATCGTGATTAATCAGTATGTCAGTCACTTAAGGATTTTATATAGAAATTTTTATTTTTATTTTATTTTAGTATAGATTTTTCTGATTCGCTTAAGCATTTTTTAGTGTAAAACACTTACCATATCATCCCCTACAATAACAATGATATTTGGTTTCTTCTGATTATCCGCAACGACCCATCCAAGAACCAGCACAAAAATACCCGACGCGAAACACCTCATTTTACACAATTTTTTCAACCCTTTTTAAGTCCACTACCTTTTTTTAAAGGTCAGTCTACACAAAAACCCAACACTGGCGTTTTGGGCCTATGGTCTTGACCGAGGGATATTGGACCGGAATGTGCGAGCGCCTTCATGGAAAATCCATTCTTATTTATAGATGTGGAGTGTTTAAAAGCGCGACATGGTAGTAGAAGGGAGAGCCTTGCTATTGACCACCACCGTCTTGTCCGTACTTACTGTGGTACTCTTACTACGTGACGTCATTGGAATCGCCAGCCATTTGAACGCCCGCACGCTGCACCGGAGTACTTGGGAAAGACTCGGAGGCGGACGGTAGTCAATTCGTCTCAGTCTCGAATAAGGAATAAATTGAAGGGTCTATGGGAAAAATACGTTAAGCGCCATTTTAGTAATTTTACAGGAGAGAACTGGACGGCTGCTGGTTATCAGGTTATTTCCGTTTATTCTATATTTTTACTAGGTATACAGGGTGTCCCCGGCTGAGAGTGCATTAGAAGTTTCTAGAGAACCAGAATATCTAGATTGGAGATTTTTTGCACATCAGTGTTTTACAACGAGATCTATCGATTAAAAATATTTTCAATATGGCGGCACTTCTGGAAATACCGGAAGTTGACAGCAACTTTCTTATTTTAAATGGGTGCCCCGTGCCCCCATTTTTTATTACATACACGTACTTAAATTATCTGTAAAATTTTATGAATTTTGATATTAAACACTCTATATCTAATAATAACTGTTTTATATATATATATATATATATATATATATGTTATATATATATATATATATATATATATATATATATATATATATATATATATATATATATATATATATATATATATATAATAGCCTGATATATAGCCTGATATTTAATTACAGTAACCATTGTATGTTAAACCAAATTGAAATTTGAGCCAAAAAGTTATACAGGGTGAGACAAAATTAATATGGAACATTAGTCACTTTTAAAAGCAAGTTACTCCTTTATTTTAAATGGAACACCCAGTATATTTTTCCGGTGTTCAATGGGGAATTTATATATCTTCAAAATATTATTAAGGTTGCCTACCCCTCAGACAAAGATTTTCCTAGATATCTTAATTCTTATGATTTTGCGTCATTAGAACTTTATTATTTGAAAAAATCTAGGTGGCTGTGTGGTATACCTTTTGTTAATTTTACAAAAATTAAAGATTTGCTTTTAAAGGTGACCAATGTTCAATATTAATTTTGTCTCATCCTGTATAACTTTTTGGATCAAGTTTTAATTTGTTTGAAAGTACAATAGTTAATTTAGCTATATATTAAGCTATACCGGGTCAATTTCAATTTAGGTAGTTTTTATTGTAATTTAAAAATTGTTCTTTATTTCTAGAAAATGTTAAATATGTCAAAAACCTTACATTTTAGTCATATACTTCTCTTATAAAACTCACCTTTATTTTTCTCCCAGAATCCGAAAATCAATTAATATATAAGGTGTTCCATTACAAAAAACACAACTTTGATACGCATGAAAATTCTTCCTACATGTGTACATATTTTTTGTACCGTTTTTTTTTTGGTCTCCTATATAATTAGGAATAATGGAGTTAGCAGTTTATCACATTTCATCGACGATATATATGTATTTCCTTCGGCCACACACCCGCTCCACCCGACCCCTGAGAGCAACCCGAACAGTACAGTTGGTCAAAATCTCTACAATTTCTATTTGATTTTTTTTCTAACAAATACTTTTCATATACCTATTAAGGTAAATCGCATTCCAATATATTTGAAGATTCATATAAAATTAATATAAACATTGATTATGTAACAGTCTCAATCAATTTATGTTGTATGTATTACATAAGAAAAAGAGAGAATTCAATTTATTTAGAGTTCTAGCTTAGTCGATAAAAATGTGCTAATCATGTACTGATGTTAATTTTTGTCTTTTGCTGTATATTTAAATAAATATATTTTAAGGTTAAATGTTGACAAGCGACCACAAGTTAGTGATACTAGTGAAGAAAATCTAGCCAAATGTAAGTAATAAACTAAAATAAGCTACTATTCAATACTACTACTTCAATTTGCCGTTTTAACTACAAAAATGAAGTACCTATTATAAAATATAAACAGAAATTAAACATTTAAAAATAAATATACACATATATCTACCTTCAAAAAAATTACAGTGGCATTTTCATTATTAACTTCTCAGTTATTTTTAGAAATGAAAACAATTCTCTGTTAGCATTGTATTTTTCTTAATTGCGTAACAACAATCCTTTTTTTGTAATAATTTTCTATAACATATTACGAAGGTGTAAAACTAGTAGATAATTAAACTATTAAGATATTTTTAGTAATTATTTGTTAAAGAATGAAGAGAGAAGTTTATAGTTTTTTTAAGTAGTATTTTTTTAAAATCGATTTTTTTATAGTGCTTGGAGATATTTAAACTAATTTTGGTATAAAGTATTGCAAGATATGATATTTAGTGATAAGATTACCACATATATTACTATAGGCTTGGTACATTTAGTTGATTTCAACTAATTCCGACCGCAGCGCACTCTACGGTAGGAATCAGAAATTATCAATATATAGTTCACGCCTCCATCATATCGATCGCATTAAAATAATATTGAAATCGGGGTTTTGTCATAATATTTAAGTATTTTAGTTTTTTGCTAGTGCAGTTATTGAGACTATAAAACACTCAGGTACGAGGTTTGTGTGATGTAACACTGTTTCGGGTAGTAAAAAATAAGTGTAAAAGAATTCGAACTAGGCGTCTTGTTATGTTGTGACAATTTTAAATGTTAATAAAATTGCCTAAAAAGATGTTAACGCATAAAGGAGAGCGTAATTAGGGCGTTGTTGGGTACAATAACATTCAATAACTCAACTTTCCCATAGTTTCTCATACCGATTTGTTCAAAAGCAAAAATAAATTCAAGATTCAAGCAGTTCGACGAAAACAAAGTGCTCGTTACATAATCAAAAAATTAAATAGATATACATATACTATGAGAGTGTAAAATATAATTTAATATCTATAACGAATTTTTTTAAAAGTACATAATTATAATTATAATGTTCATAAAACATTTAATCACTAGTTGATTAAAAAATATACCATTAATATTGCAAATTATATTTTATCCTCTTATAGTACCGTATGATCGAAAAAAAAAACGGCGTCCAGTTGGCTTAGAAATGACGATCGATGACATTCTCCATATAATTTTACATATAAAATGACAGCGATCTTCATTTCATAACCAAATGGACGCCGTTTTTTCGAATATACGGTATATGCTTATTTAATTATTTGATTAAGTAACGAGCACTTTGTTTACTCACTTGTTTCGTCGGACTGCTTGAATCCATTTTTCCTTTTGATCAAATCACGTTATCAATCAATCAAAAAATAATTGTATTTTAAATTTCAATCTAGAGTGTAATGGCTGTGTTAAAAACACTAATTTAATCAAGGGGCCTTTGGAAAAATAGATTTGATCGTCTAATGTTTTTCGTGTCTTGTCTTGGCCGGTTAAAAGATGCCCGAGTCGTACTTTTAATCAAATCCCATTTTTTTTAAATGGAAAGGGGTGGCTCATGAGAATATCTGGAAAAAGCATTTTTTACGAATAATTTGGTAGGTACCACACACTTGGTATTTCAAATTAAATTGTCATTATGAACCGCATGTTACAATTTCAAATAAACTATAAGCGAAAATGTCAAAAGTTGACATATGATATGTCATTTTATTCAGAGTGTCATTTTCTATCGAATAAAGTAAAAAAATACCGAGGATGCCATTTAAAAATCAAAAGTTGTAGTCGTTTCCGGTGAAACAGGAAGTGACCGAAAATAACTAAATACGACCATCAATCCTAATTTATGTCGTACACTAACACACCAAATATCGTTTTTTTATCTAAAAAAATTAAGTTATAGGAGTGAGTCACTTTTGATACGCACCCGGTATGTAAGAAGAAGAGAAAATCAACCAAACCACAATAATAATTACGAAGAATTTCTCCTGGAAATCCCATAAGAAATTAATCCTAATTACCGTTAGATACTGATCTTTAAAAAAAACCTTTTTCAGGCTATAAATTTAGTCTTTAAGAAGCCACACATTTATATTAAAATGAATATGCTAAAAAATCAATTAGTCATGATTAATAATTATTGACTAATTTGTGTAAAAGGAGATCCAAAAAATGGTGTACTATTAGGCTTAGCAAAATTCAATTCAGACGTTAATAATGTTAATAATTCTAAAAGCTTGAAAAATGTTTAAGATTATTAATCCCCATACTCTAGATTTGATGCGTCGATGCGCCATAGTGAGTAGGATATAGTTGGTCGATGCGATGCGTTGATGCGATTCGTGGATGCTATTCGTTAGTTCGTTAGGAAATCGTCCATTTGTCTTCATGATATGTCTTTGGTGGTTCGCCCAAGGATCTACATTCTGCCGCATATCGCATCACATCGACTATTGACACATCCAAAGGCACATCGACCCATCAACCATTCAGCCATTTAGTTGGTTCCCGTTTAGAAAACAGAACGGTTCTGGTTCAGTTAGTGGAGTGTTCGCTCCTTTCCTAGCTAGATCATTTGCTTTTTCATTGCCTTCTATCCCTTGGCCAGTAGCGTGTCGTGGATAAAAGGGCGGAGGGGGCGAAGACCTTAAGGGGCGCAATGATCAATAAAGGATCAAATATATTACAAACTTTTTTTATATAATAAGACTACATGAAAACGTTTATTTTTTTTAATTATAAATTTGTTTATTAAAAAAGTTAGTATACAAAACAGTTATTTCAAAGATAAAAGCGTCTTGTTTTAACCGATCTAAAAGAATCAATTATTTCTTCTATATTTAGATCCTGGGCTGTATCTGCTTCAATACTGAGAAGTGGTAAATAATTGGTTCTATCTTGTGTGCTGGTGCACCTCTGGTAATTATTAATTCTTCCTAATCTACTGAAAGATCGTTCTGCACCAGCACTGTTGGTGGCTATAGTGTAAAAAATCCTCAGTAATGCACATAAAGATGGATATGAAGACTCTGGGCAATGCAAATTAAAAATGATAAATATTCGTCAAGTGCAAGTTTGTTATCATCAGCATTAATTTCTTCTAATAAACTGCACAAAAATGTTTATATTCCTCAATTAAA